TGGGGCAGGAAGGTTGGCTGGGTGCAGATGGCGGGGGCCCCGGGGGTCTCGCGCCGCTCCCCGAAGGCCTCGGGAGCCCTGCTGGCCGTGGGGTACATGCAGTCAGCACAGGACTTGTAGGAAGGCTTCACTTTGTTGAGGATCCCGAATAGAGCATCGTGCTGGAAGGGGACAAGAACGTGAGAGCGTGACACAGCCAAAGATCAGGACATACCAGGAGGGCGTGGGCGGGTTGGGGGGCCCTGGAGGGATGGTGGTCTCACTGCAGGAATAGGGACCGCTCGCTCTGAGACAAACCCAGGGGTCCCTGGGGGTAAGAACTGCCAAGGTGGCGGAACAAAGCAGCTGAGGGGGCTGGGAGGGGGCTGGGAGGGGGGCAGGACAGAAGTGATGGGGGGGGTTTGCTGCCCCACACGCTGGCCCACACCTACCTCAAAGTCATCCGGACAGCTCCTCTTGCTATTGTTATTATTTAGGTTTTCCCGGTTGAGCAGGCTCTTATCCAGCTGGGCTGGGGACCTCCCCCACCGCCCTGCTCCGGGAGCCTCCTCCCTCTCCATCTCCTCCACGGCGGGCAAGGGGCCACGGTGGGCTTTCGGGCTCCCGAACTCCGGTTTCTTCTTCACCTCCTTCTCACAGGGCCCGGGGCCTTCCTGGGGAGGTCTGGCTGGCGTGGGCGCTGCTGGAGGCTGAGCTGCTTCCTCCAACAGAGCGTCCTTCTCCAGATCGTCTAGCTGGACCAGGCCGCCGGTTTCGTCGCTGGGGGAGCGCAGGAGGGGGTCTGAGAGCCGCCGGAAACAGCAGGAGAGAGAGGGTCCTCCTCCTCCTGGGAACCCAGGCTGGGCAGCATCGTCCAAGCAGGACAGCCGGGCTTCCCGAGCGTCATCCAGGGTCTCTGGCAAGAAGTCCCCGGACCCCGCGAGGTCACCCACGGGCTGCTGGAGGCGGCTCTCGGTCTGCTGGCGCCAGAGCTTGTTGTGCCTTTGTTTGCTGGGGGAGGAAGGGCAGAGGAAGGTCATCAGAGGCCAGGGCCCAGGGAAGAGGGGTAGGGATAGGGGGAGCCAGCGAGGCTGGCGTAAAGCCTCTCTCTGTTCATCTGTCCCCAAGAAATGAAAGGACGAGAGAAGCAGGACGAGGACCCAAAAATCATCGTGGCCCTCGCGAGAAACCGTAAAGGACCCTCTGTCACGTGACAACAACATGGCAGACGGGTGAAGGGCACCTAGACCTGAAATGCTATCGGGAGCCAGTGTCCCATCTCATCGGGTCATGCCACTTCATGTCCCACCTCTCAGTTTCTCCATCTGTCAATATAAATATTTATATACGTACCGGTATATAGTTATACTAATACAGCAATGTGAGTACGTAATGCACGTGAATAAAGTTGGGGAGATTCCAGAAAACTATAAATGTTGTTTATAGTGAAACAGGATTTTTTGAGGGTGAAAAAGACAGGTTTTAGGAAATTTTAGAAATTAAGAGGACCATGGAAGTAGCACAGGGCTACAGAGCAGCAGCAGGTGTATTTCCATAGAATAGGGAAGCTGAAAAGCTGCACCGGTACATTTCTATAGAATGAGGGAGCTGGGAACAGCAAAAGGTCTATATTTACAAAATAAAGGAAGGAAGCCCTTCATCCAGAAGGAGTAGAAGAAAGCCCAAAGGGAACAGGAAAACAATAAGGACGGAAGTGGGGGAGAACCTCACATGTCCCATGTGAGGTTCGACCTTGAGCTCAGGAGTTACTATAGTAAACCGTCTAAGGGAATAGTGACCAATCAGAGGGGATATCAAGGCACAAGGACCTGCAGCCTTTATAAGCCGCAGGGAAAAGGAACTCAGTGGGACCCCTTCCCCCTCCCCAAGTGGGAGTCTGTACTTGTTCCTCAGTAAATCTCCACCTTTGTTATAACATCTCCTGTCTGTGGATTCATACTTTTTGACTCCGGTGGAAAAAGAATCCGGGACATCCTGCCCAGTCCAAAAATTCTGCTTCATTCATTTAGGTCAGAGAGATTACAGGTCTGTTTTAAAAATCTGTCTTCTAATACTATGGTGTTTTTATGATACATTTTCAAAACATAAAGGTAAAAAGAGAAAGGCTTATAGTGAAGTTAAGGTAAAGAAGTCACCTCCAGGAACCTGAGAGCAATGCAGACATCATGGGGTTGTAAGGGTTGAGATGAGAGAATTGAATGTAAATGAAGGTTCTGCTATTGTCGGTCAATGCGAGAGAGTGTCAGGATCACTCATGACTGCTTGCTCCCTGGGCATGTTGTGGGCGAGGCCGGGGGCCCTCAGATGGGGCTGCGATTCAAGGTCAACACCACGCAGCTGTGAACGCAGCCTGGAAACCCCTGAATGGGCTGAAAGGGCACTGGTGGAGTGAGGGGCCGAAGGGCTCAGCGGTGCACACTTCTCCGCCTCAGCCTCCGCCCTGCCTGGGGATCTGTTCAGCCACCCTCTGCTAGACAGTGGAGATGTCCGGAGCTGTCCTCTGGACCATGTCCAAGCCTGCTTCCCCAAAGTGGTCAGAGGCCGAGACGTAGCCTGCTCCCTCACAGCACCAGTCAGAAATAACCAGGGAGGCCTCCTACAGACGGAACAGAAAGGGAGGAGGGGGACAGAGACACCGAGTTCCGGGGTACAGCAGGGATCCCCCGGGGTGGCTGGAGGACCCCTCCCGGTACGGGCGGGAGAACTTCGGGGCCTCCCTGCCTTGGAGGCCAACACACCTGGGCAGGTGCTCCCTTCTGCTGTCCCTGGCTGTGAGGTGCGGGCAAGCCAACCTCCAGCCGTCAGTCCCTCGTCCTCCCGTAAGTGGGGGTAACCTGTACCCTGCAGACTTCCCAGGTGGGGTTAGAAATGCAGAAAAACGACATCCCATCTACTGCAGCCAGGTCTAGCAGGGCCTCCACAAGGTGCCCGTACTCATGTGCATCCACAACCACCCGACCAGGTGGGCGCTGGTTCTTTGCTCAGAAGGAGAAGAGCCGGGGGCGGGGATGGACTGACGAGCCTGCCCTGAGCTGCCCTGCTCATCAGTGGGGGAACCCCGCCTGCCCCGCAGTCCTCGGCACTGCCCTGCGGCGAAGCCTGGCACAGCGCTCGGCCCAAAGCAGATGCTCAGGAAACGCGGCACCCACATGCCCGTGCCGCACACAAAGCGGTGCCTTAGAGCAGGAGTCAGGCACCGTTCCCTCCCGCCGCAAAACAGCCGTGCGTGCCAACAGCATCAGAACAGATCCCTCCTGGAAACCACTCATCAAACGCCAAACAATAGCTGTTTTTCTCACACCGGCCCCCTCCACCCCTCCCCTGCGTCAGGGTTTTGGCTGCGGGCGGTTGGCGGCTCAGTTCTGCCAATCCTCGCAGACAGTCACCCACCTCGCGTCCAAGATGCCTTCATACTCAGACAGCTGCCTCATGAAGCCGGCGTTGGGGCGCGTGATGCTGCGCTTCTGCTTCACGTAGTTGTAGGCTTTCTCCAGGGGCCAGCCGAATTCCTTCATCGCATACGCGATGACCGTGGAGGCGGAGCGGCTGACACCCATTTTGCAATGTACCAGGCATTTGGAGTGGTTCCTCCTGGCGGGGGAGAGAGTTTTAAAGAAGCTTAACTTCGCTCTCTCTGTTTTTTTTCCACCACGGACAGTTTTAAACCCTGACGTTAGGTCATTGCCCAAATGCTCCCAGTCCCGATGTTTACGCAGCACATGTCCACACGCCCTCTAAAGGAAATCGCTTCCCTGCGAAATCAATTAGCACACAATGGGGAATCAAGATAAACCTCTCCTTGCCCAGCAAGTTTTGCAGGGAGAGCTCAAAATCTGGGCGGACTTCAGGGACAAGGTGGGTATCTTCCCACATCGCGGGGATAGGCTCGGAGACCAGAAACCCTTTTGTGGGAAGCAAGTGGGCAGCGAAAGAGAGATCTGCAAGAGAGAGGTCTAGATCACAGCAGCTAGAGCAGATGGAGACGGGGAAGGGTTACTACAGAAGAATGGGGTCAGAGAACCGGAAGCCGCAAGGCCCTCTGGAGACAGGAGGTCAAGGAGCCAGGGCGAGGCTAGCAGCACCACGGACTTGGCCGAGACAGAGACAAACTAGGGGAGGGTGGGGCCCGAGGTTGTGAGGAGGCAGTGCTGGCCCGGGCGCGGCTGACTGAACAGATAGGACAAGGCCAGACACAGCGCTCCTCCGCTCCTCCGCATGGATTGAGGGAGCGCCGGGCTGGAGAGGGCGGCACCTGTCAGCTCTGTGTGCCCAGGAGGCGAGCCCACCTGTCTGCCTGTTTACGTTAGGAGGAGCCAGCTTGGCAGTCGAGCAGGCTCATTTCTCCTACTTCAGGCTTAAAATTCATCACCGAATCTCAGTGCCTTTTTCTTTTTCTTTTTTGACTGCTGGTCTCCTATCTACCCCAGGAATGCAAACTATGAAGTCATGTGGGGAAGAGCAGGTTATGTCGCTTTGACCTGGAGGGGTGCAGAGCAGAAGATGGGGTTCCAAGGGGTCCTCTCTGTTCTGACTGCACAAGGCAGAGCTGTTTCGCAGGAGAATACGGTGAGGACCAGAGTTGCGTGAAACCATGACGGGCTCACAGTCTGTCCCATTCAGCCGGGACAGGACAATCGCGCTAGCTCAGGGGGGAAGGCAGCCCTAGCTCAGGGCATCGCCTGAGTAGATTTCTCTGAGGGAGCAGTCCCAAAGGTGCTCGAAGTCCACATACAAGTGGCCCTCCCTTCTCTCTCCTTTGGCTCAGCGACTCCCGCGGGCCGAGCCTCCCAAGAGTGTTCATGGGGTCCTGGATTCTTAACTGGAACCAACGGGCCAAATGTCACAGCCAATGCTCGGTGGGAGGGAACCAGCTCATTGGGGCCCCACCTGGAGCTCAGCAACTCTGAGGGGTCCTGTGGTCGGAAGTCAGAGGGCCACCAGACACCCAGGCTCCCTAAAGCCAGGAGATGTCCATGTCTTGGGCTGTCATTAATTTCTGCCCACCCAGCATCCGCCAGTTTCTCCCTCAGACCGGTTTCTTTGGCTTCTCCGCCCACTTACTTTGCTTTGTTTATAAAGTGGTACGCCTCGTTCCAGTGGGCAAGAAGGTCTGTTGTCTCTTCATCATAGACTCGGATGTTGTGATATGCAAATAAGCCAGGGAAGAAATTATCTATTTCTCTAGTGACATTTAAGATGTAGTCAACACTGCAATGACAAAAAAGAAAAAAAAAAGAAACACATTTGGAGAACCAGAATGAGGAGCTATGAAAAACAAAATAACAAAAAATTGAACAGAGAAAAAAAAATCAAATATGCATTATTAAAGGGCATATGTTTTTTGGTAGGACTTCTGTTTTTTTCTTAATAGTAATTTTTTTTTGTATTTTCTAAATGCCCTCTCTATGATGAGAATGCATATTTATAATAAAAAACCAAACTTCTTTATAAAAAATTTATAAAAAGAAAAGTTCAAAGCATTGCTAAGCAATGTTAACTCTGGAAGGTAGATATATATTACTTAAATGCATTTTTACTAGGTGCACCAATTAATTATGCGGACTTTTTTCAAGATGGAGTTACACATATGTTGATATATATGTGATTTGATATGTATGCGATTTTGTTGTATTGCTCCTCCAGGTGACCACTTGTTCCGATCGATGGTACACGCGCTTTCTGAGCAGCACTTCAAAACGTACGAAGAAGTGGAAAATCGGGTCTCTGAATGGTCTGCCTCAAAACAAGAAAAGTCCTATTGGGATTGTCTCCACAAATTACCTGAAAGATGGGGGAAATGTGTAGCTAGCGGTGGACATTACTGTGAATAAAGCACTTTTGATGTTTCCCTTGAAATTATCCTGTTTTCTTTGATTACAAAATCTGCATTTTTAATCGGTATCTGCATTTTCAACCGGTCTGGTGAATACAGCAGGTGGGTTAATACTTCCCAGGCAAGATCTTTTAATGTATCTTTAACTGGTTTTGAAGTGTGTGATGGTGCATCATGAAGCAAAATTACTTTGCTGTGTCTTCTGGCACATTCTGGTCATTTCACGATGAAAGCATGGTTCAAATTGATTATTTGTTGTCGGTAGCGATCAGTATTAACGGTTTCACCTGGTTTTAGAAGCTTATAATACACCACACCTTCCGGATCCCACCAAACGCAGAGCAGTGTCTTCTTTCCAAAGCGATTTTGCCTTGTAGTCGATGTTGATCATTGACCTGGATCAACCCATGATTTTGTGCGTTTGGGATTCTCAAAATAAACCCACTTTTCATCGCCAGTCACAATTCGATGCAAAAAAGACTTTCTTTCGTGCCTTTGAAGCAACAGT